CCCCCCCCCCCCCCCCCCCAGTATGTTATGTTACCATGAGTTTTTGTAACAAAAATCTTCAAACTCTTCTTCAAATTCTCTACCAAGAAAAATACAAAACATCGTAAGGCTGTAGTAACTATATATATATATCATTTGTTTTTGTGGTTTTTTTTTCGTTGTTGTCGTTTTTTTTTTTTTTTTTTTTTTTTTTTTTTTGTTTTTTTTTTTTTTTTTTTTTTTTTTTTCAGGTTTTTAACTGGAGTAGCCAGGTTACAGTGCAGGTGATCCTCCAGACAGACACGCGGGCTGGGCTTCACTGCTGCTTACACTCCGCTGGTTGGGCTGCATCCTTCTACAAGAAACACACGGACAGACAGGGGGCGTCAGTGTCACCGATCCACAGAAGAGTGGAAACAAAAACAAACAAAGAAACAAACTAGCCTAAAGAAAGACGGGTTAAAGTTATTCATCACGCAAATACTCAAAAAAAACAACTAACTAACGTAACTAGGGATGTAACGATGCACAGTTTACGATACGATTTAATTGCGATATTTTGTTTATGAACAAAATTAGCTACAAATTGTGACCAGATCCACTGATCCATAAAACTGAAAATTCTTCTCTTCAATAATAGACAACATTTTAGACCAATCAGAACTGTCGCAGATTTGTGTCGATTTTTAACCCTTTCACTGCATCGTCACAGCCCGAAACGTAACGCGTTACAAACTGAACAGAGTTAAGACAGATATAAAAGTCACAACATTTACTACACACACACACGTCACGTCGTTCACTGGTTCATCACATCCAACAGCGCCATCTGTTACTGACCCACGACCAAATAAAAATGGCCCACGTGTGGTCTGCAACCCACATGTTTAAATTAAAATAAATAGTGTAAATGTTTTTGTGAATTAAGATTGTGGCTAATACTCCAGTACTACGTATAGTACTATATAGTACTGTAAACTGTTCCTTCTCTGTTGTGCCTTATCTCAACTTTTCCTCTCAATGGGACTGGAACTGTTTGTGTGTCTTTACAGCAGGCATGTGAGCAGGCACTGGTCCAAAACAAACAAACAAACAAACAAACATGCTGTGGGGGGGTCGCGGGGGGGGTCATGCCCTTTTCTTTCCGCCACTCATTGGGGGGGGGGTCATGCCATTTTCTTTCAGCCAATCATTTTAGAGACATTTTTTTTTCTCTTCAGCTGATTGGCTATTCTCTCTGACGCCCTCCTGGCTGTAAAGGGTACTGCACCTAGTCACAATGAACAGACTGGGACACCAGTGACCCGGACACCAGTGACCCAGACCAGGACACCAGTGACATGGACCGGGACACCAGTGACCCGGACCGGGACACGAGGAGAACGTTCAGGTTTTTATCTGACGGTTCTGTGACACCAGACAAACCCTGACAGAAGAACCAGAACCGACCCAGTGGTGGATGGGACACAAAACCAGAGACATTTCTGACACACACAGATGGACCAGGTGCAGATGACGGTACCATGGGTTAGAGTTCAAACCAGCCCAAAAC